TTCTCTTCTCACCATTTTGTTACAATATTGAGAGCATTGGTAGCAAAAGTTACTTACACGGGTCTTTAAGAACGAATGTTCTCAATTCAAGAACAATGTACTTGAATATTTCTGTCTGAGCAGGTATTTGCCTAACTAAACTGGTTTAAATTACATTTAAAAAAGACTTTACAAATTATTATAAAGATTATATGATCAATAATGAGTAGGAAAAGATTTTAAAGGTTTTATTTTTGGATCCCATATGCTATGGTTAGCTTTTTAAAGAAAGACTTGCAACTTTGTCTCTTAAATTGAATATGTTACACACATAAAACATTCCCCTGTATTTGCAAGCAAATTTATTAAAAACCCAATGAATAATGCAAATTATACATAGAGGAAACTAAAATTGCCAATTAGAAAATAGATTAAAAAACGAAATACAAGCTTTAAAAATTAAATTTGTGTTTAAAACGCCCTCTTTTCCCCAGGGGAAATAGTTCGGGCCCCACTTTAATATTGGATAGTTTTCGATGGCATCAGTTTAATAGCCGCGAACAATGCAATGCCCTCCTGCGAACCCACACCCTCGTGGAGCCAATGACTTTTACAAGCGCTTTGCATAAAATTATTCAATTACATTTTAATGTGGGATACTTTAGGCTGATTTGCGCACACGGCCCACTAACACAGCCGCAAAAAGCAAACACTTACTTGGGCACGTTCGCACACTCACACTCAAACACCCTCCCCCCCCCCACACACACACACACTCGATGCTGCCCACTTCATTAAAAATCCTGTCAATACTTATTAAACTCAAAAATCAAATCAATTTTGCGCTATAATTACAAAAATGTCTGCCGCCGGTCGTAAAGTGCTCACCAATACAAAGGATATGGCACGTATTTTCGACTGCATGTGCAGGCGTATAATACCAACACATAAACAAAACAAATGTCAATTAAAAAGTAAAAATTGCTAGAAAATGGCGCTCGACCTGGCTAAAACAAAAGAACTAAAACCAGCCAGGACAGACAGGAGATGGTGGAAGGGAGGGGGATCCTGTGAGGCTGCCAGGACGACTGGCTTTGAGTCCTGCATTCGACAAGCAGAAGCTTTTGGCATTTGTCGTGCATTTTGTGTGAGCGCACAAAACTTTTTCGGCCAATGCCAAGCGAACATTTTTCAACGCCACCGCTTCTGCTGCCAGTTTTCCCGACTTTTCCGAGGCCCAGTTTTTCCCCCATCTGCGTTTTTGGCCGTTGTTGCTCTTTTCGCTTTTCCCATTGCCACTGCACAATTGGTACGTGTACCGACCATTGCTCTGCATTTGGCCAGGTTTTCGGTTAAGTTCGCGGAGGTGGAGCGCCAGATTGGGACTTAGTTAGTTACAGTGAAAAGCGGCTAAGTGGCAGCGGAAGAGTTAAATTAGTGACAAAATTGGTGAGTGGATGACGCCGGTGAATGGGGGCCGGGGGTCTGTCAACCTCGGGGGAGCAGGGCAGTGGCCTACCCCATCTGGCCAACTGATCAAAGGACAACTGGCCCCCGTCGGCTGGTCCTGTGCTGATTAAAACAGGAACAAAAGCCGATGCTCCATGGCCGATGACCGAAAAGGAAGGCAAATCTCAGATGGTTCACAAATCAATAAACAATGAAAAACTCTCAAATCGTGGATTAACTCCGCATGTGCAAAACTACTCAGCTCATTAGATGGGTTGCCGTGTTAATTGAGGACTTGTTAGGGATTTAAACAGAGGTCAGCATTTTTTGGTACCTTCCAGATTCTACGGTATTTAAAAAGAAGCCTCTAAACGCTCTTATCTTAAACATTTTACCCTGATTTTTAGAAGGAATATTAACTACAGTCAAAGTCTTAAAACTTAAATTATACGTTTTTAATCAGTTTTTAAAGGTGTCTTTTAGTTCTACAAACTACTACTTTATTTGTTACACTTTTTGTATTTTATTGCTTAGAAATATTTTAGTTTTGGATTGTAGACTGTATATCATATCCTCAATATCAACATCTTTAAACATTTTAAGATCACATTATGATATAGATATATCATGTTATAATTGTAAATTTATTCTCATTTTTTAGAGATGTTTTTTAGTTATACAAAAGTAGAACAGTTTAAAAATTAAGTCTTCTATTAGATCTTAAATTGTTACACTTTTTCTTTTTTATTGCTTAGGAATATCTAAGTTTTGGATTGTAGACTGTATATCATATCCCCAATATAGATAGATATATCATTGTAAAGATTTTGTCATTTTTAAGAGATGGTTTTTAGTTATTCAAATGTAGAACAGTTTAAAAATTAAGTCTTCTAATAGAGCAAATGTTCAAATGTAGAGCAGTTTAAAAATTAAGTCTTCTAATAGAGCTCAAATTTATATACTTTTTTTCGTTTAATGCTTAGGAATATTTTAGTTTTTGATCGTAGACTGTACATCTTTAATATTTTTTAATTAAAATATTAAACTTTCAACAGAAAAAAGTTCGTATATGAAAAGTGCGTTATTATAATATGTGTAATTCTATTTTTCGAAAAACATGGGTTATTAGATACCTTGTATAGTAAATGGGATGTTTTATTTGTTTTGTGCATTCCACATTCAAGTTCATTCCGCTTTTAGATGGCCAAAAACAGGGCTCTTCGTTCGCGGACAGCACAAGTGCAATAGCCGGAGTGGAAGGACAGCACGGAGTGCTTGACACGCTGGCCAAGTTGCCGTTTGCCACTTGAATCCTTGGATCCTTGGAGGACTGCAGCAGGCGGAGGGGACAAGGACTCGGCCTAGACAGTCGGAAAAGGTCTGAGTTCGCGTGTCGCTCGCTGGGAAAAAATATATAAAATCGAAAACGAATATATATATCTAGATAAATAAGTATAAAATCGGGAGAATGGAAGGACAGCAGGAAAAGCACTCGCGACTGAAATCAACAAGCAACAATTACAGAGACAGATGAGGCAGAGGCGGTATGGCGGAACAAAAAAAGCAACAACGAGGGTATCCTGATTGAGCTTCGCCTGCCACTCCCCCTGCGCCACACCGCCCACTTCTTATCCTTCGACTGACAAAGATCGAAGACGTTGACAATGGGCGAGCGCTTCAGCAGCGATAAGTGCATTGCTCGATAATCGAAAATGAAGCAATGAAAACAAAAGCTCAAACAGGAAGCCAAAGTCAAGAACCCCAGGATGACAGAGGGGCGTGGCAGGAGCAGGGGCGGGGGCGGTGAAGGCAACAACAATTATTATCCCTGCTGTGATTGGTGGGCGGGGGAAAAAGTGAGGAAAATCCCATCCAGTCAACCCCCCATTCGATTAAATTTACAGCGCTGTGTGTGGAAAATGCCTTTTCCTTGGACCTCCTCTTCGCCCCCAACTTCCCATGCATAAATAATATCGATGTGAGCAATGCGTCTGGTTATCTGAAATATTTGTGGGCCTTTCCTCTTGGCGGCAGGTGGAGAAATTTTGGGTTGATACAGCGTTAATGTCTAGGCAGGTGGCAATAACAGGGGGTCTTCAAGTGTAAGTGAAAACTCCCACTTCCGGTGGCGGAAGTCAGTTTTCCTCCCCAGGATCAAAGTAAATTTGGAAATATTCAGCAGTCAACGTAGCCGGTAACCTAGCTTAATTGCCTATTAAAGCCTCTGTTGGAGTTGGGATAACAGTTTATACTTTATAGAAGGGGAATGTTTGTGGATTTAAATGAGTTTGATCATTTGCAGGTAACTTTAAAATATAATTTTATTGTATAAATAGAAGTAATGCAAGAACAAAGCTAATATTATTCCAAAAACATTTATGAAAATACCTAATCGATTTGTAATTAAAATCATAACTATATTTATTTTACAAATTAAAGCTGGTATATAATACTAAAATTAATATTTGTAAAGGAAGAAGCGCTGGAAGCTTAAGTCCTTTGGCCCAAATTTCATATATATTTTATATGTTGTTTTTACTATTTGTTTGTAAATCAAAAATAAAAATCTTAAGAAAAGGTTGTATCTTGTTTGTCAAATCATTATTATAAAATATTCCTATGTTTATAATTAAAAATTCGTTACTGTGTTGCCAATGAAGAATTTATAGGGTCTGAAACGTCTCTTTCACTGCGATACAAAGTTCTGCAGGGGTAAAAAAAAGAGTAAGCACACAAAAACAAAAGAATAATTTAATTAGCTCATGGTGCTGAACATTCTTTGGTCTCTTTCCCACATTGTTTATTTATTTAACCAGCTCAAAGCTTTTGTTTGGCTACGGTTCTGTGACAAAATAGTTGGGAGCCACAGAAAACATTTAATAATTAATTTAATGGAACATTGCAAAGTTGCAATGCATTGGTTATTTTGTTTTAGCCTGATCAAAGGCACAGAGAAAACCAGCCACATTTAACTTAATTCATAAAGTAGAACATTTTCAGTTACCCATTTGAATTGTTTTTTCTAGCTCGTTTCATTTCATGACACTTTATAGTATATAAATTATGATTTAGCCCCGATAGCTGGCGAAAGCTCAAGTGTTGCCAACAAGTTGCCAGGAACAACATTCAGATTACAGCCTTATCGTTGTCGTAGACGCCTCATTTGGTTTATAAACGGGCGAGGGAGGGGCCGGAAAAATAAAAGAAAATCATGCGAGAGGGAAAAGAAAGGCAGAGTTGTCGTATCTTGCGAAAATATCAATTACAATTAAATAGATTAAACCTTATCATGCAACAACTGTCGCACAAGTGTCCCGAACAAGGACGAAAATGTCGCCAAGGACGTGGAAAGGGGGGGGGGGTTGGTTTGGGGCAAGGAAGGAAACAAGCGGCACAACAGGCAAACAAACTTTGGGGTGGGGGTGTGGAAAACGGGTGGAAAGCGGGCGGAAAATTGGGGGAGGGACATGCCAAGCTGGAACAAGCACAAACCAATATAAACATATATACATACACAGCGCAACAGTGAAAACGCTTCACAAGATTAATGAACGTACAAAAGTTTAGAGACAATGACGACGCCGGCGACAACAGACAAAAACAACGACAACGACAACGACAATAACAACAGCAACAACAAGTCCTATGAAAACCGGCAACACCATGACATGCCCCGAACAACAACAACAACAATAACAGCCGGAAAAGTGTCGGAAAAAATGAGAGAGGAAAATATATGGCATACACTTAGGCGCGCCAAGTCGGTAAGTCGTGCAAATTTATTTTGGCGTAAATTTCATTTCACTAATCGAATCGATTCTTATGCGTTTCATTTCATTTTCAGCTTACTGACTTTTCGCCTATCTTCTCCGCTTGATTTCCCTGCCTTTTTTTTGGATGTTCATCACTGGCTCTGATTAAGTGTATATTGGGCTAGGTCAGCGGATGGAAATGCGAATGATTTTGGGGGTCAATACTTTATTGTTCGTCCAGCAGACAGGATGAAGCATGCTCGAACATGTCCTGGCGCGAATTCAAATGGGGTTCGTTGGCCGGTTGACACTGGTAGACCCATTCAAATGCTAATGAAATCAGTATGGCACTTGTAATTTAATTACTTTGGAATGACCGCTTACCATGAACTCTTAAATCAGTTTATTAGCAGTGAAATTAAAATAAAATTTGTAGAAGGTTAAAGACACTTAACATAAAAGTCTATAAATATTTATACATCAGAATATATCTTACTAATGACTAATTAACTAATTAATATTAGAACATATTTTATTTCAACTAAAAAATTTGTTTGTATTTATATTTCAATAATTTAAAATAAGACTATTTTAAAGTCAATTTTAACAACGGCCAAATGAGGAAGTAAAGGACAAATATACATAGTGAACAAATATATATAGATTTCACTGTTTTTGAAATCTTGTATTCCTTAAAAACTTTTAGAACATTTTTGTAAGTGCCATTAAAGGTTAAAATCACTTAACAGACAAGTCTCAAATATTTATACATCACAATTTTTTTGTAGATCTAGTTTTCCTTAAAGGGATTTTAAAGTGCAAACAGATTTTTCTTAGAATTCAAAATTTTGTTTGTATTTATATTTTAATAATTTCAAATGAAAATATTTTAAAGCCAAATTTAACAAAAGGAAATGAGGTAGCTAAAGACACTTAACAGAAAAGTTTACAAGTATATATAGATCCCACTATTTTCTAGACCAATTTTCCCAAAAGAAGTTTATAAACCCTTTTGAAGTGCTAACAGATTTTAAGCAAATTTTGAAATATTTTTGTCTTTAATATTTTAAAGCTAAGCTTAAGAAAAGCTTAAGAAGGTAGTTCGCTTATCGACAAACTGAAAGCGCGGATTTAACAAAACTCGTGCATTGCTGAAGCATAAATTTCTTATTTTAAAGGAATTAAAACTATAAGGTGCGAGAATATGCCATAAGTCCCCAACTCCACTGGCTTTTTAAGGAAACTTTTTGAGCATCATACACTTCGCCAAGTTATGTCTTTTTTCAAGCGACCCACTTAGCGGCTTGAGTGAAACTCATCAGCATTGTTTCAGCCCGTAGTTTTTCTTCCCTGGGCTCCCCGCTCATCACATAATTTAAATGTCGGCAAAGTGTCTCCTGGAATTTGTTTGAAATAGCATAAATACCCCCTGCTACACAATTTCCCACTTTTCCACTTTCCCCGCCCCCTTCCGCCACTCATTGTTTTTGCTCGTGAAGCTTCCGCCTGAGTTTCCGCTACAAAACGCACATACCCTCGGCCGCATTTCCCATTTTCCAGACAGCTCCATCAGCATCGCTTTTGCTTTCTTTTCCGACTGCCAGCGACTATCTTTCCCTTGCCTTTTCTTGTTTAGTCGTTTTGGCTTATTAAACATTTATTGTGTTTGCTGAGCTTCCGCTACAATTTGCTGTTGGGCTTCCCGTAAAGATTTTAGCCCTGTTTTTTGGGGTCGATTCGTCCTTAGATTGCGCCTTCTTATTTTAAATCCGTCACCGCCTTTGCGTCAACAACTTGGCACTCTCTTTTTTGACCCAAACCCGGAAAATCCCATGTGTCCCAAGTGAGCAGCCACCGCCGAACGCGACTTTTCCATCATATCCACTTACAAAAAGCCTTCGACCTGCGGGGCTTCACAAGGGAACCTTAGGGTCTCGGGTTTTCAAGGGTATAATTTAAGCTTAATTTAAAATTCCCATCGAATGCTTAAGATATTTTCTAAGAAATAAAATAAATATTCTGCTTTTTGTAAGACAAACAATTTCCAAATAACTTAAGACTAATACCTCAAGTGTATTTGGAAAATACCTATAAGTGACTTTTAGTCGATTATTAAATAAGAAAAGTGGCAATTTTAAAGATTTCTGTAGATTATTGCAAATTTAAGAGGTTGATGAAAAATAAATAACATTTTCAGACATCATCACAGAATTAGAAAATGAATGTTTGGCCTAAATACCCATTTGCACACATGTGAAATAAGCCAAATGAACGCACAGCATGGGAAAAATGGCAAACCAAAAATGAAACATTTTGTATAAGCCGCTCCTAATAGTCAACTCAATACAGACATACAAAAATAATAGCGCAATTTGTGTGAGCAACAAGAAAATATATGGCCATGCATTTTTTATGAATTTTTCCGGGAAAACGGCGAAAAAAAAGAAAAACGACAGCGTCAAAACAGCAAAGCGGCAATGGGGGACGCGGTTGCAAAGCGAAAACAATTTAAGTGTCCTTCGGTTGCCACGCTAAACGCCTTCAATTTAACGCCAGACACACGCCACAGGGGCAGACAGCCAGGGGGGGATAGGGGGTGTTTTGAGGGGGTCCTGCCACTCCTGCGAGTCCTGAGTGTGCGTGTGTGTGTGTGTGTGCGAACTGATGCCGCAATGCGTGTTGACCGCCAACGCCGCTTTTGCCGCCACTTTAAAAATCTGAACGCATGTGAATGGCATCCGAAAGTATGCTACAGCGAAAATCACTTAAGCGTTGAAAATTTGTACTGCTAAAAAAAGGGAGCAGCGCATAGCAGAAGGGAAAAAAGGTTGAACTGAAGTGAAACTTTCCCAAAATGTTGATGAGGTGTGGGAAGCAGCAACAACTGTAACGTCTAGCGAGAAGGTAACAAAACTTTCAGTCAAGAAAAACATAAAACTTTCGCCCCACTGCCGGGCCAGCCTTTCACTCCTCACCACCTTTACCACCCCCCAGAACTGCATACTCTTACTCATTTATAGTATGGAGATGCTGAGTAGCTTCTTCAAGTATGCGTGCATGTGGTGGAAGCACCTTATGCATATGTATATGCACTGCAAAAAACATATTCGGTTTTAAAGTAACAGAGTTATTTTTAAGCTTTAAAAGAAATCAGAGTCCAGGTTTAACCTTCATTTATATTTTTTATCAATTCATATTTAAAGTTTTTAAGCATATGTACCAATTTCAGAAAAAAATGAATTATCCCTGCCTTTTCAAAAAGAAACCAATAAATAGTTTAAAAAATTATGTTAATAAAAGACTACTTTTTTTAATAATATTTTAAGGCAGAATAAGAACTGTACAATATTATATATTTACCAATTTCAGTAAACAAAATGGAACTATTCCTGCATTATTAAACATAAATCAATAATGGTTAGTACTTAATATATTCATTATTAATATTAAATTAAATATTAAATATTTAATAATATTTCAGAATAGATAACGAAATCATATAATTTTATATACTTAATTTGAAAACAAAAATTAAAACATTTTCTCACAGTGCATGCGTCACGAGGACTGCAAGTGCACTCTGCAATTATGATAACATGTGCGCCCTCGCCGCCTTCTGTCCCCGGAACTCGGTCCTTTGGGCCCTGCCTGCTGCCAACAAAACAAGTTAATAGTTTTTACGCAAAATTTTCTCAACAGGCAGCTGCCTTGTTTCAGGTTTTTGCGGCATGTTGAGCTCTGTTCTGTGCAGCTTCCAGTGGGGAAAGTGCATTTGCAGTTCTGGTTTGCTGTTGAGCTCTTTTAAAATGTTGTTTTCTAGTGTATGCTATAGCGCATTTTTATTGAAGAAGATTTACTTTATTAAATGGATGCGGAGACAACCATTTTTTTTTTGACAATTAATTCCTTTTGGTAGATAATGAAACTTAGGCTACTATGAAATTTCGATTTCTACTAACATATATCCTGCATAGCCTATTTTTGCTTGCCAATTATTTGCCAGAGCATGGATTCAAATATTTATGATGAGGAATTCGAAATGAATGTAAGCTTAAATAGGGAAAAAATTGGCCAAAGCTTTGGCTGACTCACGAACCATTGACCCCAATCATTCCCTACACTTGTTCACTCCACCGCCTTCCGACCTCGTGAAAAATGTCGTTCCCTCTTTGGAAAATACCAAAAAGTTGCTACAAAAAAAAGTCAAACAAAAATGAGAGAAAACTTCTGTGGAAACATTTCCCATTCAACTTCATTCGTTTGAAACCGAACAATTCCAAGGCCTTTTGCAGCCACTTGTTGTGGATCTGGGTGGGTTTGTAGGGGGTTGGGAACCGGGGAACTGGGGGGACTGGGGCTCCGGCCAAAAACACATGTAGACCACGCCCGCTTTTTTCAAGTAACAAGTATGTCAAGCCAAATAAACCCCACAGATAAGAAAAATCAACCAAAAAATTATACGTAAATAAATTACATTTTAACCGAAAATCGACAAAAAGAGAAAATTACGACAAGGATTACCATAAAAGGCCTACGTAGCCCGCTGGAAAAATGATTGTGCAAAAACTCAAGCAGAAATAACAACAACCAGAAACTGTTGAAAAGTTTTTAAGTGCGGAATTTATAGCTACCGATTTGTTGTCTGGGCCTGGTCCTGCTGCTTTTCTGGTTTTGGTCCACCCCGATCCACTTGCACTTAGTGCTCGAGCAAAATCAATATGGCCTGGAAAAGCGCATAATGAGTGGGCCACTGTGTATGGGACTGCATTTTGGAAAATATGAAAAGTCGAGGAAAGTTTATGGCGAATGAGTAATGAGTGGCTAAGCCTGGTTCAAAATCCTTCTGGCCTCTCCTCCTTTAAAATATTTACCCACTCGTTTTAAACGCAATTTTGCAAACGAAAACTAATGTTTGTGATTTACAATTTGGGAACTTTATAACTTTATATTAGTTGTTTAAAGTTAAGTCTATTAAATTTATAAATCAAATTATAAAATAATATCCTAGGTGGGTGATTTTAGAATTAAATTTAATTAAATTTCAGCAAATTTAAACCACAAAACGTGATATTTCCTTTTCAATTCGAAATGCAAGTTCACCATCAGTGTTCATCCACTCAAGTATTTGCGATAC